CATTACTTCATTAAGATTTCCTTATAAACTTGACACGATATGGCTGAAATACTGTCGATGTGACGTTAAATCTTAACTCACTCACTTAACTTAACTCACTATAAACTTGATCTAAATAACAAGTAGTGTACCCATAAATACAATACCTTAACAATTTACAAAAGCCTTCTCACAAGGAAACTCACTGTGCATTCTTTATTCACAGTGGAACTAGCTGTCCATATTGCCAGTTTTGGGCTGTGATGAAATCCAATGGTAATTTGAAATGAAATTCTAATCTCATGATCAGCTATAAGTCATCCAGAATGACGTCTGCTTTTGCTTCACATACTGTGATGGTAGTGCTAGGAATTCTTAAGTCTCTAGAGACAGATATCAGTAGTCATTATAGGTGGCGATGTGACAACTTCAGTGTAGGTCAGTTGCGACTAAATCAACCGACCAAAGGCAACCAACAAAAGTGATTACTTCTTTCACCCTTTGAGAATCAAGTGTTGCCTCAACTTTCTGAAATCCCACTTGGGCAATGAAAAATAGATCAAAGTTTGGTGTCCATGTTTGGTGTAGGTACTGAATACCTTTTTCACTGAAGGATTTTTCTCAAGTATTGAATTGATATTTGCAAACAGACATTCAGTGTTTTGTCTGATGTGGGTTGACATGACAATAAACTGTGATTGATAAGTTGGTGACAACAGTGACAAGTCGGATCCACATATATTTCTTTGAATTGTACAAGCAACAATAAAATGGGCAGAAGATGGAGTACATTAGGGTCAGAAAATCAGAATAATTAATGTTTCTGAGCCAGAATTTCACAACTTGCTCAGTGTAAGCGATCTAGAGCTTTTGCAATGCCACCCTTGAAAAACAACATCTCAACTTTTGAAAGGAATATTCATGTTAATTTGTGATACACCAAACAGTTGACATGCATATATGTAAATAGAATGATATATTATGGGATACAACCCGGAGCACCCACACCCAATTCCTTAAACCCATGACCAGACCCACATCCACCCACATCCAATTTCCTCCACCCACATCCAAACCCAATTCCTCAAACCCACACCCACATCCAATTCCCTACACCCACATCCAATTCCCTTCACCCAATTCCCTACATCCACACCCACATCCAATTCCCTACACCCAATTCCCTCCACCAACATCCACACCCAATTTCCTCCACCCATATCCACATCCAATTCCCCCTAACGACACCCACACCAAATTCCTCAAACCAACATCAACATCCAATTCCCTCCACCCATATCTACACCCACACCCAATTCCCTCCACCAACATCCAAACCAAATTCCTCAAACCCATACACACATCAAATTCCCTCCATCCAATTCCCTCCACCAACATCCAAACCAAATTCCTCAAACCCATACACACATCAAATTCCCTCCATCCAATTCCCTCTACCCACATCCAATTCCCTACATCCACATCCCCCCACATCCACATCCAATTCCCTCCCCAACATCCACATCCACAACTAATTCAGGGGTGGTTGGGTAGCCTTACAGTTACAGCGTTAGCTTGTCCCGCTGAAGGCCTGGGTTCAATTTCCAACAAGGGTACAATGTGTGTAGCCCATTTCTGGTGTCCATTGCTGTGATATTGCTGGAATATTGCTAAAAGCAGCATAAAACCATACTCACTCACTAACTTACTCACTCACACCCAATTTCCCATAACCACTTCCAAACCCACATCCGCTCACACACATAATTTGCGGACCCTCTACTCAGGGATTAATCAAGTGTCCTTGGCAGGCAAAGTGGGTTAAAAAAAGACATTTCGTTTAAAATGTTTCCAATCTGTGAATTTGTAATGACATTTGCTGCAGAAGACTTGCCTCTAAGCAGGTCTAGATAATAATAATAATAATAATACAACAAGCCAGGGACCAATCTCAAGACCAGCCACAGGACCACCAGATGCAAGGATGCACCAGAATCCACATGGGGATCGACTGACCAGGGCTTTGCCACATATGACTATGACACAGTTGTTTCACTAACCTCCCTATACTGTGTAGATGAAAATGTATGAAACTATAAACAACTGAAAGTCTGAACCGAAAATCAAACTACATTCCTTATTTGAAACTTTTAGCAAATGAAAACCATCTTCAGAAATTAATTTCAAAATGTGATATCAACAAACTGTAATATAATATTCTGAAAATTTTGTCAACATTGATTTAAAAAAATATGTGTTCATGTAAGAAAATAACAGGCAAACAAAATAAATGAAATAGCCATCAAAGTATCTTATCTGATTTGAAACAAACAAATTCCATATCATCTTGCCTAATTTTCAACATCTTTCGACAAATAATGAATTTATTTTTGTTGGTAAACTGAGAAGCCGGAGGCATTACATATTTTCATTAAAAGTTTAATTTCAACAAACCTATTCCCAATGACAATGTTTGTATTTGATGGCTTTTATGGAAAGTAACATGAAAATTAACGTTGCTTTTTTATGTTTTTAGCATCCAGACATGGTCATAATGACAATCATCAAAATCCTAATGAAGATAAAATGTCATATAAATCTCTTTATTCATGATTAAGAATTGTAACTGACAGATTTCAGCAAAGGACATCATGAACCAATAGATAACTTCCCAACTGCTGAACCAGGCACTATATGTCATACAAAACTGTTGGTAGTTGATCCGAGTTACAGAAAGCCACCACATAACACAGCTAACTTCGGCCATGTAAGGACTTGATATAGACAGCTTGGATAATCATCTATATTAATCGTGAGATTGGATCAATTACTTGTAATCAGATTTTTTTTTAAACACAAAAAACATCTTTTATTAACCTTATTAGTTTAAAATCAATACCATAATTTATGACACATCATTTATAGGGGAAAAACAACTATAAAAAATCCACAATTCCCAACACTTGGTGATATAAAAATAGGCATCATTCAACATCTAGATGTAGTTGTTCAGAAGATGGAAGTAATCAATTCCCCATATAAAAAGACATCAAAACTAATATTAAGATGTCAGGACTGCACTGGAAAAGATTTTCTCATATATTTTTTTCAGTTTACGTGGTCGGTTCGGATCCAGAAACACAAATCCATGAACATAAAACATTCAAGCATTCATGAACTATTCATAAATGTTTTTGAAGAATTTTGGGCGAGCTGTTTAAATATTAAGGAGGGTAGTGCTTCACCATAATGTGAGTGTGTATGTGAGTATGTATGTGTGCGTGCATGTGTGCATGCATGTTTGTGGGTAGCAAGGATAAAATCACCATTGTTGGACTGAAGAATCAGACATTCATACTTCAATGAACTCACACAAAGTAAAAGTCAATTCTCAATTGAAATGACAAATTCAGATATGGTGTGTTTGACACAACAGTAAAAGTTCGGAATACAAAAACAATGCAGTCTAATTATCATTAGTTACGGATCTGACAGAAGGAATCAGGCTAAAATTCAACCATGTGAAAAATACCTTTGGATGACATGAAATGCCAAAATAAAAATGAATACAAGGTCTCCACGACATTTCTTTCACATGTTCTACAAGGCAAATTACAAGATCTCACATAACTAAATCAGGAATCCATTATAATCATCAATATGTCAGCATAGACCCTGTTTCTTAAACAAAACTCTCTCATTACAAAATTAACAGAAAAGAAGACTTGGGCCATGTACAAAATCTCCTTACCTTTTGTTAAACATAGTTACTTTAATAGGAGTCATTGCTTTACAAAGTACACTTCAACAACTATCACTATCAATGTCACTTTAAATTGTAGATAGCTCCTTTTGAATTATGAACACATCCAGACTGCCAGTCAATCAAATGGCAAGATATTTCTAAATGACACTTGGTTCCTTAACATTAATGATATCAGTGCTTCCTTCACCCACTCAAGTTCAATAATAGTCCCTTAAAGCAACAAGGATCTGAAACTCTGTGTGTGCTTCCTGACCACAATCATTAAACATCATCCTTTGAAATGTCATTGAAGACTGAATCTTAAAGAGCCAAAAGCCTTAATTTGCCACTTCTTGGGAAAAGAATTGTCGTTTTGTTCATTTTCATATCAACAATATTATGTTACAGTTTGGATGTATCTGATGCTGCAGGACCTGGCATGACACATCAAGGGATATTTGATTCACAGGAGGGAGACACACATGAGTGATGTGCTGGATCTTGCTTTTAGTTCAGTCGTCTTCTGTAGTGAAGGTCATATCAGATAAGGATGTTGCTGTTGCTGAAGCCGAACATCAGTAGGCCAAGATTGTTTGTTTGTTTGTTGTTTAACGCCACACTCAGCAAATATTCAAGCGGTATGACAGCGGTCTGTAAATAATCGAGTCTGGGCCAGACAATCCTGTGATTGACATCATGAGCATCGTTCTACCCAATTGGCATACGAAGATATGCATCAACCAAGTCAGCGATTCTGACCACCCAATTCTGTTAGTCGCCTCTTATGACAAGCATATTGCAAGCATTGTTGCTGAAGACCTATTCTACCCCGGATCTTCGCATGTGTGATGAACTATAAGGTTGTATCTATGGCCCTGCATTTGTAACAGTACAGTAACATATGTTGATGCATTCCAACCTCCACTAGGTTTTTTTAAATACATTGGGGTAATCTTGATTGTCACAAGACTGTGTTAAGACTGCATTAAGATGTTTCTGGAACACAAGGCCCTGAATCGCAGTTTAGCGTATTTATTTTTTACGCATTTTATTGGTATCAGATAAGATGTCGGATATGCAGTTTTTTCGGGATTCATTTGGATATATACAAAGACGAAAGGACAAGATGGCACAAAGTAAATTGTTGAGCAGTTGGCCAAATGAACGTTTTCAATCTGGCTTCCATAGCTGTTATGTTCAGTGATCACAGTACAAAAGTGTTGGAATTAACAGTTTCAGTATCAAAGGCTTTGTGGTGTCAGACAAGATTTCAATAATGAAAACCTTCATGATAGACAGACTGACATACAGACAAAGGACATCTCATAGTGATAGATACAGTAACTTCATCCTAGAAGACCATGACAGTAACCTCACCCCAGAAGACAGTGACAGTAACTTCACCATAGAAGACAGTGACAGTAACTTACTTCACCTAAGAAGACAGTGACAGTAGCCTCACCCAAGAGGACAGTGCTAACAACTTCAACCCAGAAGACAGTGACAGTAACTTACCTCACCCCAGGAGACAGTGACAGTAACCTCACCCTCAAAGGCAGTGATACTAACCTCACCCAAGAAGACAGTGACAGTAACCTCACCCTCGAAGACAGTGATACTAACTTCACCCTAGAAGACACTGACAGTAACTTCACCACAGAAGACAGTGACAGTAACTTCACCCCAGAAGACAGTGATACTAACTTCACCCTAGAAGACAGTGACAGTAACCTCACCCTCAAAGACAGTGATACTAACTTCACCCTAGAAGACAATGACAGTAACATCACCCTCGAAGACAGTGACAGTAACCTCATACCAGAAGACAGTGACAGTAACCTCACCCCAGAAGACAGTGACAGTAACCTCACACCAGAAGACAGCGACAGTAACTTCACCCTAGAAGACAGTGACAGTAACCTCACCCTCGAAGACAGTGACAGTAACCTCACCCTCAAAGACAGTGATACTAACTTCACCCTAGGAGACAATGACAGTAGCCTCACCCCAGAAGACAGTGACAGTAACCTCACCCCAGAAGACAGTGACAGTAACATCACCCCAGAAGACAGTCACAGTAACTGACCTCACCCCAGAAGACAGTGACAGTAACCTCACCCCAGAAGACAGTGACAGTAACCTCACCCCCAGAAGACAGCGACAGTAACTTCACCCCAGAAGACAGTGACAGTAACTTCACCCCAGAAGACAGTGACAGTAACCTCACCCCAGAAGACAGTGACAGTAACATCATCCCAGAAGACAGTGACAGTAACCTCACCCCAGAAGACAGTGACAGTAACCTCACCCCAGAAGACAGTGACAGTAACATCACCCCAGAAGACAGTCACAGTAACATCATCCCAGAAGACAGCCACAGTAACTGACCTCACCCCAGAAGACAGTGACAGTAACCTCACCCCAGAAGACAGTGACAGTAACTTACTTTACCTCATACCAGAAGACAGTGACAGTAACCTTGCCCTTGAAGACAGTGACAGTAACTTATCTCACCCAAGGAGACAGTAACAGTAACCTCACCCCAGAAGACAGTGACAGTAACCTCACCCCAGAAGACAGTGACAGTAACCTCACACCAGAACACAATGACAGAAACCTCACCCCAGAAGACAGTCACAGTAACCTCACCCCAGAAGACAGTGACAGTAACTTACCTCACCCCAGGAGAGAGTGACAGTAACCTCACCCTCGAAGACAGTTACAGTGACCTCACCCCAGAAGACAGTGACCTCACCCCAGAAGACAGTGACAGTAAACTCACCCTTGAAAACAGTGACAGTAACTTACTTCACCCTCGAAGACAAATATAGCAACTTACCTCACCCTAGAAGACAAAGATAGCAACTTACCTCAATGGGATGTCACTGACTTCAAATACACTTTTTGTCTGTAGAAATGCACTCTGGCGTGAAGTGTAAATGTCTGGAGTATCCTGCAAATTGTTAAAAATATAGACATTAAAACCCTAGGATTGATTTCTTTTCAAAGTTTAGGAGGCAATGAATAATAAAATATTTACGTGTGACCTTACATGATCCACTTGATTATTTATCATCAACTCATCTTAAACATAACAATCATGGAACTTATGTGTCACTGTCTCAGAATAGGTTTGATTAGAAAATTTGATTTGACGGAAGGAGAAAATACAATTATGGTGTGATATCAATAGTGCTAACAATGTATGTTGGTATATATCATAGTGTTTATAGTGTATGCTGGTATATAGAGTCTACAGTGTATGTTGGTATATAGAGAGTCTACAGTGTATGCTGGTTCACATAGTGTCTACAGTGTATGCTGGTATATATAGCATCTACAGTGTATGCTGGTATATGGAACATCTACAGTATGTGCTGATGTATAGAGCATCTACAGTGTATGCTGATATATAGAGTATTTACAGTATATATGTGCTGGTGTATAGCATCTACAATGTATGCTGGTGTATAGAGCATCTACAGTGTATGCGAGTATATAGAGGGTCTACAATGCATGCTGGTATATAGGGTGTCTACAGTATGTGCTGGTGTATAGAGCGTCTACAGTATGTGCTGGTATATAGAGCATCTACAGTGTATGCTGGTATATAGAGCATCTACAGTATGTGCTGGTATATAGAGTGTCTACAGTATGTGCTGGTGTATAGAGCATCTACAGTGCATGCTGGTATATAGGGTGTCTACAGTATGTGCTGGTATATAGGGTGTCTACAGTATGTGCTGGTATATAGAGCATCTACAGTATGTGCTGGTATATAGAGTGTCTACAGTATGTGCTGGTGTATAGAGCATCTACAGTGCATGCTGGTATATAGGGTGTCTACAGTATGTGCTGGTATATAGAGCATCTACAGTGTATGCTGGTATATAGAGCATCTACAGTGTATGCTGGTATATAGAGCATCTACAGTGTATGCTGGTATATAGAGCATCTACAGTGTATGCTGGTATGTAGAGCATCTACAGTATGTGCTGGTATATAGAGCATCTACAGTGTATGCTGGTATATAAAGCATCTACAGTGTATGCTGGTATATAGAGCATCTACAGTGTATGCTGGTATATAGAGCATCTACAGTGTATGCTGGTATATAGAGCATCTACAGTATGTACTGGTATATAGAGCATCTACAGTGTATGCTGGTATATAGAGCATCTAGACTTCTGCTGTACAGTACATATCTCTCAATACATAATATAAAGGATCCCAGAAAATCTCTACTTTTTAAGAAATTGGAGAAATCCAAATGAGTATTGTAGACTTGGGAATATTTGGATAGTTTTGTTCCAGAGCCTTTACAACCCGGCCCCCATTTGTTCAATAATTTGTTTCAGACAATGAAACTTCATTACCCATACAGAGTCCTTTTTAGAACTGCATGTGACCTAATATTAGAAACAAGCATGCCTCTAACCATGGATAATGCAACATATTATGTTGTATGAACAAGGTTTCACTGAAAAACCAAACAATATAATTATAACAGCAACATCAATTTCAATAATGAAATTTGCACAAATCAGCTTCATCACCACCAAGTCCCTGGTCTATGTACAGCTGCATAATATTCCTGGGAATAGACAGTGGACAAATTAAACCATAACATTTGAGAAAGCCGAGAGCATCTTCACCACGAACCCCCATCTCATATGTATCCTCACACGGTCTGTGTTCGATGAACAAATACAACCTCCTTTCCCATGCTAAAAAAATTATCCAACAATACATTCAGTCTCATTTAAAAACGGTAAAAAATACATTACAAATAACAGAATTAAATCATTTGAACCAATTAAACAAGATCAAAGTCGAAATGAAAACATTTTGTGGTTAAAACTCCACAGGTCATGATTGCTTCAGAAGTTTGTTGTGAAATGACTTTAACCCTTTGCTGGCAGCTATAGTTCAAATAGCTCGTTTCTATCGATTTCACCATTCCTATTGAACATCTGTCTTTGGCAATTCAATAAGAGTGATTATTTCCTTCTGCATCTCGAGGACCAATGTAGCTTCTTTATACCGCCACTGTTTACCCAGGGTGCACCATTCTCTTTGTTGAGTAAACACTTCCTGTGATATCAGTCATCAGCAGAGAGTAGCCACCGATAATGATTATTTCTTCAAAAGAATATGATTTAGATTAATTCTAGACTTAGTCCAGCTGCTAAGTCAGACTTACTTTATGTCTTCTGACTAACAGGTTAGTATGGAGCATGCAGAACTGTGATTTGTTACAGCAATGCACTTCTGTCAAAGCTGGGCTCAGGTCTGTAAACTGGATGTGTTAGCAAGAACCATCATCTCCTCAAAGCCCCTTAAATCTTAATATACCACCATGTACTTCCATTCTGAAAACATCACTTTCAGACCTCCAACCTTTCAGATATTCAACAGTCACCAAGTTCCATGATTTTACAAGTACACAAGTGCTCAGTAAGTGCCAATGAATGCAAGTACAACAGCTTTCCAAAATAGTCTCAAAGATGACCTTGACCTTTGACAGAGGGCAACCAATATTTCATGTGTTTGGATTTTGTTAATAACGCAACAAAACCCTTTCCATATCCAATAGAAATCTCTGCATAAAGACAAACATAAATTCAGTTGCATCCCTTTAGAGGTTACCATGCCTCAAAAACAGACACTGATAAAACTGTTTTTTACCAAAAGTGAGTGAGTGAAGGTGGCAAGTGAGTGAGTGAAGGTTGAACATGAGTGAAGGTGGCAAGTGAGTGAGTGAAGATGGCAAGTGAGTGAGTGAAGGTGGCAAGTGAGTGAGTGAAGATGGCAAGTGAGTGAGTGAAGATGGCAAGTGAGTGAGTGAAGGTGGCAAGTGAGTGAGTGAATGTGGCAAGTGAGTGAGTGAAGGTGGAACATGAGTGAAGGTGGCAAGTGAGTGAGTGAAGGTGGCAAGTGAGTGAGTGAAGGTGGCAAGTGAGTGAGAGAAGGTGGCAAGTGAGTGAGTGAAGGTTGCCAGTGAGTGAAGGCGATGAGAGGGTGATTATGAGGTGAAGGAGTGACTGTGAGTGGAGCTTCACACAGATTCGACAGCACATATTATCCAGCAATACCCAAACTACATAGGAACACCAAGAATTGGCTTCACAAATTGCACCCACATGTGTAAATGGAAGCCAGAACCTCAGTGCCATTAGAAACACAGGGATCTGATTTATGGTAATTTTAGACTAACTCCAAGTAGATGTTTGGCTTCTTTTCCTGCACATCCCTTGGAAGCTCACACTGAAGGACTGTAGGATATCAGACAAATTGGCTTCTTTTCCTGCACATCCCTCTCACACTGAAGGACTGTAGGATATCAGACAAATTGGCTTCTTGGGTACAACTAGTAACAAGAAACAAGAGCTGTCATACTTTAAATTTTGCTGAGCTGACCAGTACCATGGGTGGACCTACTGGACAGTACCAAACTTTAGATATATTCACAATTTCCAACAGTGACCCTTCATGGTAAGTGGTAAATCTTGTCTAGTCTAATTAAAGAGAAATATAGGGGACAACTCCCATCATGAAATCCAGGTAGAATATCCTACCATGAAGGATGATCATTTACTGTCCTAACACAGTTTCTGAGAGTCAAACATTACTATTTCAGTTCATGGCTTTGTGTTGTAATTCTGGCATATCGAGATATGTATCATATCGTGACCAGTCTATTGAGATATGTACTGGTATTGTATAAGGGCCCTTCATATAGTATTGCACATTTATTAATGATCCAGCTATAGGATGTCAGGCTATAAATAATTGAGCCTGGACCAGACAATCCAGTGATTGTAATAATAATAATAATCATCATCATCATCATCATCATCAAAAGTGAACATCATCAAAAGTGAACTATGTCATATCAAATCACTGAGTTACATTTTTCATTCATTTCAGGAGTGATAAGAACAATCCATCCTCATCTTTATCCATGCTTTAAATACCCTTTGAAACAAATCACCTTTGTTGTACATGTAACATGACCAATAACCACACCTGTTCTTCAGCCTATTCTTACCATCTGTCATACCAGCCCCATACACATAATGAAAACAAATATGAGCCATATATATCTCCCACCTTCATGTCAGATCCAACAGGAAAGACAGCTAACATAAATGACCTCCCTCACCAACTTATGACTCCACTGACAGCCCCATTGGAGAATGACGTTGTAATCTGTAGGATTTTGGCGAAGCTGATGATAAATGCATCATCTACAAGTGATACTGTTGTGCACTGAGGCTCAGGCATGGAAACATCATCTGCTTCTAAAGCAACCTCGGCATTAAGTGCTCAGAGATGCATTATCGCCAAGTGGGTCTTCAGAAATATGACATTTTTATGTGAGGTGTCCTAAGATCAGCACAACATGAAATAACAGCAACTCTGTGTTTTTGCCAAACATATTTCACATCCTAATTGGACAATAAAATAGTTGATTGTTCTCTTGTTGCTTCCAATTTTCAATAAACAGAATTTTTAAGATGAGAAAATAAGTTTGTTTATTGCAATTTTGTCAATGAGTTATCATTTCTTGACTCAAAGGATGACACCTTGTCAAAATAGGGTCCTCAAATTGTATTAATTTACTTCTACAAAAATGCAGGGAAACTTAATTTCACTGAGTAAAAGTTTATATATTTGATGTTTACATAGAACAAAATCCATAAAGTTTGAAAGTTTGTTTAATGCCTACATTCAGAAATAATCCCCATCATTATGAGTTTCTGACTGGGCATGCTTCAGAACTGAATCATTGTAACAACTTCCTGGGATATTCAAAGTCAAAGGCACTGTAGCTCACCTGACAGTCTATGATCGACAATCTGAGAGAACATGTCACAGATATGATTTAGAATAGTGGAATTAACCATTCTTGTTCCCACATCTTTTATCTGACTATTGAGTTAAGAATAT